GGCGGCGCCGCGCTAGCGGCCAGGACTCCAGACCATGGCGGTAAGTGCCGAATCCACCGAGACGACGGGGGTTGCCTTCCTGGCCGTCGGCCACCAGTGGACGAACGGCTGCCACAGCTGTGGTCCGCCCGTGTGTGTGGACAAAATGGCGCCGCGGCTGCCTTTGCGCCGCCATCATGGCTGCTGGCTGTCGGGAGGGGGGATGAAGGCGGTGTCGCTGGGGGTGGGGAGCCCAGGGAGTGCCTGCTGCTGTGGGGTTGTTTTTTCTTTTCCAGAACTTTCCTCTTGTCTCTGGCCCAGGGGGTTCTTTTCGGCTCCGTGCCTGGCCTTCTGTGTAGCTTTCTTTCCATGACGAGCAGGTGCTTTGAAGTTTTTTTCCCGTGGCTTGAGAGTTGGCGGTGCAGAACGGTCGGGGACGGGAGGAGAGGCCTGGAGGGTTTGGAGAGAGGGCCGCTCTGTTTTTGTTTGTGTTTGGGGTTGCATAATCCCGACGGGTGCAGGTCCCGTTTCTGGGGAGTTTGAGAGAACCCGCCCTTGGAGGATTCCTCCAGAACCGACCGTGGTTCTGATAGGTCGAGGGGGTCGCGGTGACCTAGTTTTTGTTTTGTTTTATTTTTTAGTTGTCCTTAAAAGTGTTAAGCGTCCTGGAGCGTCTGGTTTGTTCTCTGCCCGCCTCGTAACAATACTTTGTAGTGTGCGTCTTGGGTTCCAGCGTTCTGGAAGTGAGGTTGATTGTAGCGCTGGTTCCCACAGTGCCTGGTGCAGTACCAAGGCGGTCCCTGGAGAGGCGGCCCAGTACCAGTTCTCGCCTCCGTCGCACTGGAATTAGATTCCTATCCTGTGTTTGAATCGTTACTAGACTTTTCAACAAGATGTGGCTTCTTACAGAGCTGCTGCTAGAATGAGAGATGATTTGTCAGCATTGATATACATAGGTTTCTGTTAAAAGAACGCTAAAACGTTTTTAGAACAATATTAATATTCAGCTAGTTTTGCGATGTCTGGATATTTCCATTGTGCTCCTGTGACATACTCTGAGGGAGGTAAAAGAAAAATTTGCGGGCCCATATAGATGGCCACCTACCTCATTTCAGGCTTTTTTTTTTGCATTATTGGTTCACAGTTGGAAATGGCTCTTTGCTTGTTGTAAACCCCTGCCTCAAGGGAACTTCTTTAACGCTGGGCTCTGGTTTTAAACATGGTGTTAGATTCGTGATTGGATCGAATCAACTTCTGTCTACGGCCATACCACCCTGAACGCACCCGATCTCGTCTGATCTCGGAAGCTAAGCAGGGTCGGGCCTGGTTAGTACTTGGATGGGATCGAATCAACTTCTGCACCAAGTGCTGGCTTTTTCATAAGAACTTGTGTTCAGCCAGTTTAGTGCTGGTAGCTTTCTGTGAGATTGAATGTAACAGACCGCTAGTTCTGCTAATGTTGTCTGTTCAGCCAGGAAGTGTTCTGAGAGAAGAGGAAAGATGAATTCAGGCACTTGTATACATGCTGTGAGCTGTATGAACCCTTATCACGTAGCCGACTGGTCTGAAGTAGCCTTGGGTGTAGTGGTGAGAACATGGATGGAAGTGTGTGGCCAGCCGGTGTTGCTGGATCTTGGCTGTGAAATGCGAGTTTGGGATGAAAGTCTGAGCCACAGAAAGTTAGGGTTGCAGAAGTCACCTGTGTCCTGAAGGGTGCTGGTGTGAACAGTGCCCTGTGGTTAGGGCCTGCTCTGCACCGCGTGGTTCTTAGACCCTGGCTGGCAGTTTGCCCCACGTGTCTGTCCAGCTCAACAGCAGCTTCTGCCTTTTTCATCCTCTGTTCCTGGGATCTACATGTGGGCACATTGTTAGCCCTTGGGCAGTACAGGTTGAAAAACTACAAAATCTTGTCATTAATAGCTCCCATACACATGCCTTGGTCCTCCCTCTCTGGGCTAATCTTGCTTTGGAAAAGAGGTCTTTAACATGATCCCTTCTGCGGAAGAATGTGGCGATTCCCTAGTTATCCAATCCAGATTTTTCCAGATGTCCTAAGGGAAATGAGTGAGCTTTTCTTCTAAGTGCCAGATGGTGAATATTTTTGGCTTTATGAGCCACATGCTTTTCCTTCATTTTCTTTTTGTTGTTTGTTTTTACCACCTTTCTTTAAAAATAAGGGAACTGCTGTTAGCTCAAGGGCCTCTTATTTATTTTTTAACTTTGATGGAAGGTACTGTTATCCTGCTTGTCTTTCCGTGTTGCCTTGTCTGGCCGGTGGCTCGCCAGTGTGCTTTCAACACCGGCTGAAGCTGCTCTGGCTCCTTTTATCAAATCCGTCTCAGAAACTTTCAGCTCTCAGTTTGGTTTTGAATTTTTTTTTTTTTTTTTTTTTTTTGCTTGCTTGTTTGCTTGAGAGACAGAGGTAGAGAGGAGGAGATCCTCCGTCCGATGGTTCCCTTCCCCTGGGGCTGCCGCAGCTGGGCTGGCTGCCGCTGGAGGGGCAGGGGTCTCAGGACTTAGGCAGTCTTGCTGCCTTCCCCCTCCACCACCCCCACTAGTGGAGCTGACCCCGAAGTGGAGCAGCCAAGACTTGAATGCATTGCCCGCGTATGCGGCAGTGCAGGTGGCTGCCCAGCCCATCATAGCACAGCCTTGCCATTTGTAATGTGGACCACATGGTTTGGCAGAGTCTCAAAAGTGTTTTAAATGAAAATTAGCACTCATCTCTTCCTCGAACATCTGTTTATTTTGGAAGATTTGTTTATTTGAAGGCAAAGTGATAGGAAGAGAGAGATCTTTCATCGCTGATCATTTCCCAAGTGCCTACAACAGCTGGGGTTAACGCAAGCCAGACTCTGGTTCCCTGTCTGGTGGGCCATATCTCCTGCCTTGCAGTCAGCGGGCAGCTGGGTGGGAGCTGAGGGTTTCTGTACTGAGTGCTGGGTTGCAGGAAGGCAAGTGGTTCCTTTCCGTCCTCGACTAGAAAGCAACTAGTATTTAGATGAAGAGACATCAGCTTTGGGTCATTCGGGTCTCTGAGACAGGGTTGTAAGTTTCTATATAATATTTTAAATGTTTTGAAACAAACTATTTTTATAGCTCACAGCCATTTCAGGAACAGTGTGGCTGTTTTGCCATGATACTATGCTGAGGGGTATTTCATGAAAAAAGGTTTGTGAAAGATTGGGTTCGCCCTTAGGTAGGTGTTCTCTCTCTCTCTCTCTCTCTCTCTCTCTCTCTCATTTTAAGGATTTATTTACTTTACTCGAAAATCAATTTGAGAGAGAGCTTTGAACCACTGATTTGCTCCCCAGATGTCACAACAGCAGAGCTGTGCAGATCAGAAGCTTCTTGTAAGTCTCCCATGTGGTTGCAGGAACCCACGGCCTTGGGACATGAACCGGCACCCTTTGGGGGTGCCAGTGCTGTGGGGGGTGGCCAGCTGGCTCTGCCATGGCCAGCCCCACCTCTTCAGTCTGCAGTACTCTGAAAAGTTTTCAGCCTTCACCCTGTATTTCCTTTTTGAGGGAGGGAGGTATGTGGTTAAGAGCTGGGAAGATTGGCCACATCAAGTTCACAGACCTGAAAATGAATGTATTTTTACTGCTTGAATATTTATTGAAAATACATGGTGTCCATGGCCCAGTTTGTTGTAAAATTTATAAAAGATAATGAATAGAAAATTAAAGATAGGGTTAATTGTTTCTTCTTGATGTCTGGTGAGTCGTTTTGTAGTAGTTCAGACCTGTTAATGTACAGCTTACATTTAAGTACTTGGGAATCAACTGTTCATTTTTTAAGTGTAATTTGCAACTCATCATTTTTCTTTGAATTTCTAGGCTAGTGATACAGAACGAGATGGACTAGCCCCAGAAAAGACGTCCCCAGATAGAGACAAGAAGAAAGAACAGTCCGATGTCTCTCTTTCACCTAGAACCTCAAAACATCACTATTCAAGATCGCGGTCAAGGTCACGGGAAAGGAGGCGCAAGTCAGGTATGAGTCCTTGGAGGTGAAGAAAGCTGTCGGAGTTTGTGAGGCGTGTTAAACAGATTCGCTTCTTTAGCGTTAGTGTCCTTCCCGGCTCACAAGTGGCTGGTGGAGCTATATTGGTGATTCTTCTGCTGAAGGTTCGAGTTGTGAGAAATGAAGCTGCTAGTTAATATAGAGATTTTATAGCCTTCCAAAAGCAAAAGTGTGCCCAAACGTGGCCCACAGCAACTGTGAATCCCAAAGGTGTTTAAAATTTTAATTGTTGACAAAATAGTAATACTAAGTAGCACTCCAGACCATAATTGACACATTGTGAACTGACTTGAGCCCCGGGAGGCGTGGGAAGCAGCTATTTCAGAGGTTTAGTTTCCTCTGGCTGGCTGCAGGTGGCAGACAGGAACTTGTAAGAACACCTGCCTCTAACCACTAGGCCTGCGCTTGACCTTGTGTGGCTTCTTAGGTGCTAGAAAAGTTCCAAGTGCTCTGTTTTTTTTAAATTTCTTTTTTATTCAAAAGAGAGCAAACTGAGAAAACAGGCTTTACTGGTTTTAATTCAACATTGCTGTTTTTTAAATGAAGTTGAATAGGAAGTCAAGTAGTACTGAGGGGGAAAGGAGCAAGACCTGGACTTGGTTGACTGTTCTGTCCTACAGATTGTTCTCTACCAAGCAGCTTTGATGGTTTCCATTTTTGTCATTTATCTTTAATATAAGCCTCTGGGTTTGCTGTGGGCTCAACTACCAAAAATCTGTAAAATTTGCAAAAAACTGCCTGTGTTTTTAGTTGTATTCTGGTTTGACTGAGCTAGGTGTGCGGTATGAATGTAGGAGGATAATCCTGTCCCTGCGTGTGGTTAGTGAACGATGCACTGCACACGCGCTCGGCCAGGTTGAATCAGACACTGTTTATACGGCCTGCAGAGTGAGCCGTCTTTGTTTATGGTATATTTTTCTGTACGTTCACAGACAATGAAGGAAGAAAACATAGGAGCCGGAGCAGGAGCAAAGAGGTAATTAACACTTTAGTGAATAGGCATTTTGAAATACTTGTGAAGTGTCTGGTAGAAATGTTTGTGTGAATATAAGCTTTGCCAAGGTAAGTTCCAAGACTTGATACTTGAAGGTTAATTGGGTTAGAAAATAAGCATGATTTGGCTTCACCATTTCTCAAGAAGATAGTTGTTTGTATGAAAAATACTTCAAAAACTATTAACTTTATGATATTGTGAAAATATTCACAACAGTTTCATTGAAGAATATACTTGGTTTTTTGAGGCCTGTCACACAGAGCTTCCATTAACCTGAGGTCCCGAGTCTCCTCACCTGGCAGCTGCTCAGGACTGGAACTAGCCATTGTCTCTCAAGTGGCAGTCCTCTGGGTGTCCGGGGGCTAATTTTCCTTTGTGAAAAACTGCAAGAGCTCTCTTCTTCCATAAACTAGTATGATACCCCAGTAGGAATACTGAATTTTGAAATAAAGGCTTGAGTGAGGACAGCTGGAAAGATGGCATTGACGGCAAAGCCAGGCAGCAGCTCTGGCAGCTCACGCCCCAGAAGACGCGCCGAGCCCTAGAGAAGAACAAACATGCAGACAGGGAGGAGAGCCAGTGGGGGCTGGGCCGGGGACTCCCGAGACAAGGGGCCAGGGCCTTCACCTCCTCCCCTAATGGAAGCTCTGTTGAAGTTTTAATTTAGGAGAGTTTTTGTGAAAATGACTATTTTGTTTAGCTCACATGATAACATTTCTATAATAAATCATACTCAGCGTGCTAATGCGCGAAGAGACTGAACTGAAGACGCTGCAGACTCAGATAGCAAAATAATAAGCCTACTTCATGATAAGGTAACTATTAGTCATTCAAACTCCTATTTCCCTTAAAATATATCTTAAATCAGTTAAGGGTTTTAAATGTTTTCTTTTTTTTAATTACTAGTGATGTTATGTTTGGAAAACTCATTTGAAATAAAACTAAACCTTTACAAGTTTTAACACTTAAAGTTTTTCAGCTTGCCACTATATGGCATACATGGTCAAGAAAATTTTCTATTCTAAGCTCAGAGAACTGGCAATGAAACTAAAATTTAGCTGTGTCTCCAGGTCTCTTATTTTTCAATATAGTAAATTACATACATACTGTGATCATTTTCCAGTATATCATCATGCATGTTTCAAAATAATTGGCTAAGTTTTTTTGTTTTATTTTTGTTTAAGTTAATCTTGAATAAGAAGAATTAGTACCGTGACTTATTTGGGGAGACACGCATCCTGTTGTGGAGAGGCGGGACTGGGGGCGTCAGAAGAATGTGGGGTGTCGAGGTCCAGCTCGCCTACTCATAGCATCTTAGTTCAATTATGTGTAAGAATGAAGCAGTTAGAGCATATGGATTCCCTTCCAGGTTTAAATTTTAGCAATCCTCAGATGTCCAGGACTTGGATGCTTTAATTACACAATGGATCTGACCCATCTTAATGTGGGGGAGTACACTGCTTACCATTTCTGACTTGGGTGTGAGTGGCATGATGGCAACGATCATACAGATCATTTCCGCCCAGTCCCTAAGTACATATGCTGTACCAACCTTGATGTTCTTCCAGAGGATGTTCTGTGTGATGGCATAGGGGTTGGCTATGTAGTCACTATTTTTGGTTCTGATCTTCTACCCCTAGGTACATGAAGTGTAATAGACCTAAGTCTGTTAGGAAATCAGAAGAGGATGAGTAATTGATTTATAGTTGAGATCTTGGGAGAACAAAGTGCAGGCGTGTCTTCTAGACAGGATGTAGGCCGTGTGGCTGCAAAGGAGACACTGAAATTCAGCACAATTTGAAATTGCAGGAAATGCTAATATTTCATAAAATTAGTTGCTAGCTGCCTACTTTAAGGTGGTTTTTTTTTCTGATGCATTTCTTATTATGTTGTATTTACTATTTAAAATTTATTATGTACTGTGGATTTAGAAGTTGATGTATATATGTGGTCTGTATTTTAGGTAAATATCAGGGAGTCTATTGGTTTTTTCTTTTTTAATATCAGCATTGAAAGTCATTGTTTATGGTAATTGAATATTTTTGGGAGGATTCTTACGGGTGTTTATGAAGAAAAATAAGATTAATATTTGCATTCTGCATCATTTGGGTCAAGTGAAACTAGATCCTTTTTATTTACCACACACTCCTAAGGTTACTAATGTTGCATCACAGCATTTTTGTCTCCTGATACCCAAACTAACTCTTTTTGTTGCACTATTTTCCTGAAAGAACCAACTTCTTCTTAAAACAGGGAAGAAGACAGGAGTCCAAAGAGAAATCCTCTAAGAGACACAAGTCTGAGGAGCACATGGACAAAGAGCATTCCTCTGAGAAAGGGAGGGAGCGGCTCAACTCGTCCGAAAACGGGGAGGACAGGCACAGGCGGAAGGAGAGGAAGCCTTCGAGAGGAAGGAGTCACTCCAGGTCCAGGTCACGTGAAAGGTAAACACGAGTGAAGGCACTTAACAGGCTCACTAACTGAGCATCACCCCAGAAACATTTATAAGCAAGTGCCTACTATGTGCTGATTTGATCTGTTTGCACACAGATAGTTGAAATGTTTTGCTTTCTGAAAACAGAAAGGGAAAGAGAATGCCATCTTGCATCGGCTGGTTGACTCCTGAGGGAGCCGCAAAGAACAGATGTAGGCCAGCCATCTGCCACTACTTTCTGGATCAGACATAGGGCACCCAGGGCTCCAACTGGTGCCCATAATGATGCCAGCCTCACATGCAGAGGCTTAGTTGTAATTGCTATGCCACAGCACCAGCCCCCACTAAATAGTGCTTTCCTGTCCTGTTCTAGAATGCTTACTTCTAAACTGTGTTTTTTTGTTTGGTTGTAACACAAATGTTATGAGTGAGAAGATGGATCATGCTGCAGATTGGTGCGGACTATGCTAAGAAGGCGTGGTGTTTATTTGAACAATTCTCTTGGTCACGTTTTTTAATAGATGCTGCAACAGATAAGAGTTTCAGCTTTATGAAAGCCTTGGGATGGGAGCCAGCTCCATGGTCAGGAGGCAAGGCCACCTCCTGTAGTGGCAGCAGCTATATTGTCAATCTAGCTCCCTGCTAATGGCAAGGGAAGGCATCAGAGCATGGACCTCCAAGGCCTGGGCCCCTCCACCCATGAGGGAATCCCAAAAGAAGCTCCTGCCTCCCGTCTTTGGATTGGTACAATTCCACTAGTCGTAGCAATTTGGGAAGTGAACAAGCTTTTTGGAAGCTCTGTGTCTGCCCTTCCAATAAAAATAAATGAATCTTTAAAAAAAAAAAAAAAAAACTTTGGGGACTGCTGTGGTAGCCTAATGGCTAAAGTCCTCACCTTGAATGCACTGGGATCCCAGTTCCCAGATATCTAACTCCTGGCGTGTGGCCTGGGAAAACAGTAAGCAGTAGAGGACCACCCAAAAAGCCTGGAGACCCTGCACCCATGTGGGAGACCCTGAAGAGGCTCCTGGCTCCAGCCGTTGCAGCCGCTTGGGGAGTGACTCAGTGGATGGAAGATCTTCCTCTCTGTATCTGCATCTGCCTTTCCAACAAAAATAAATATTTTTTTTTTTGTAAGTGCTTTGGGAAGATGTAGGCTTTACCAGGCAATCCCCCCCCCCCTTTTTTTTTTTCTTAATGTATTTGGAGAGACAGAGTGCTGATTTTCTGATTGACTTCATCTGATGCCTGAAATGACCTGCATGTAGAGTTGAGAGCTAGGAGCCAAGATCTGAAGTCAGGTCTGCTATGGCAGTTACAGAAACCCAAGACTTTCGCTGTCAGCTTTGCCTCCTACGGCCTGCATGAGCAGGAAGCTGGAGTAAGGAGGGACGCGGGTCCAGCCCCGGCCCTCCACCATAGCGTGCCTGTGTCCTCAGCAAGGCGAAGTTGGATTCAGAGGCTTTGACCACTTTCCACACGTGAGAGCTCTGCTGTGTACTGTAGAAAGTAACAGCTGAAAGAGCAGAGGGCTCCTGCTGTAGCGCAACGGTTCAGGCGTGTCCTGCAGTGTTGATATGCCACGTGGGCATCAGTGCTGCCCACTTCTGATCTAGCTCCCTGCTGATGCGGCTGGGAAAGCAGCAGAGGACATGGGAGCCTCCTGGCTGCTGGCTTCAGCCTGACCCAGCCCTGGCCATTTCAGCCATTTGGGAAGTGAACCCAGAGAACGGAGAACTGTGTCTCCCAGGTACGCGCTTTGTAACTCAAATAAACAAGACCTTTCTTAAAGGAATGGGTCAAAGTCCATTTTTCGGTTAGGAGTCCTTGGAAAGTTTGAATTATCCTTTCTGTAAACAATGCAGAGTAGTTTTTATCTTGGTTGCATTGCTGTAAATAAATTTTGAGGTGAATAATTAGAGAAACAGAACTGTGAGAACTAATTTGTGCCCTTTAATTTCAGGCGCCATCGTAGTAGAAGCAGGGAGAGAAAGAAGTCTCGATCCAGAAGTAGGGAACGGAAGAAATCAAGATCTAGAAGCAGAGACAGGAAGAAGTCGCGATCCAGAAGCAGGGAAAGAAAGCGACGGGTCAGGTCGCGCTCACGTTCCCGGTCAAGACACCGGCACAGGACTCGGAGCCGGAGCAGGAGCCGGAGCCGGAGCCGGTAGGTGCCCGTCACCTTGAGTGACATCTGTCAATCCCACTGTAGAACCTGTTCATCTTTAGTCATATGGTGTACGTTGTGAATTACTGTTTTTTACTGCATTTTGTAAGGAGTTTAAGTGACGTTGGATAACTAAGAAGTCACAAATGTAGATGCTGGGTGCCAGGGTCGCAGTGTGCTCGCACCTCGTACTGCCAAGATGTGTGTCATGAGTGGACTAACTTCAGATACAATAGTGTGAAAAAGCAGTTATGTTCTTGAGAGGATGCTGACACTGATTTTTAATGGAAATGCTTTGTAAATTTTTTTTTGCAATCTTTTCACGCTTTATGTGTGTGTTTGCGTTGAGTGGGGGAGAGCTCCATGCACTGGTGCACACCCTCTGCTTGCCCAGGGTGGGAGCCAGGGACACAGTGACCCAAGTCAGCACAGCACAAAGCTGGTCAGGAGTGCTACCAGCCTTGGCTGTCAGGCCCTGCCGTCTCAGCCATTGCTTCCCTGGTGTCTGTCACCACTGGTTTATCCCCTGGCTTCCCGCAGCAGCCAGGACTTGTGCCTGGTGCCTCCCTGGTACACATTAGCAGGAAACTGGCTGGGATGTGGAACCAGCAGCCGACCCAGGGCTTATAGAGGAAAGGGAGAAACAGATCCTCCACCCGATCGTTCTTCCCAAAGTGGCCACAGTGAGCCTGCCAGGGGGCGCTGACTGCCGGGCCTCCTGCTGTCCCGTTGGTTCTGATTTGTACTAGTTACCTCATTCATGGGAAATTAAGTGATTGGACATAAATACGGCATTATGCTCTTCAGCAACTTTGTGGGCAGCATAGGTCATTCTTTTACTGTATTTGAATCCTCATCAGTGCTTTTTAACTGCCAATCCTTTTATTTAAGTTACCTATTTTGTACTAGAAGTTTACAGGTTTTGTTGTGGAATATAATACATTGACTCACAGAAAGCAACTGGTGTAGGAAGCTAATTTTTGCAACATTGTGTATTCTGTGCAAAAGATGGGAAGCATTCACTTTCTCTGCAGTCATTGCTGTAACAGGGATTATATAAATTGGCATTATGTACAACTGTGGGACATGTGCAGTAGGTAGAAAGGGGATTGATGCTTCATATATGCATGATTTTGATTTTTTTATTTAACCAGAGTAAAAGATTAATGTAGATTCTATTCAGTGAAATAATCCCTGCTTGGCAACAGTGAAACATGCATAATATGATTTATTGCAGAGATAGAAAGAAGAGAATTGAGAAACCGAGAAGATTCAGCAGAAGTCTGAGCCGAACTCCCAGCCCACCTCCCTTCCGAGGCAGAAACACAGCCATGGATGCGCAGGAGGCCTTGGCCAGGAGGTAGGGGGGCTGCGCGTGGGAGTGGGGTTGATTTGTTTCTTAACTTTAAGAAGGTGTTACGTGGACAAAGAATGTTGTTAGCGAACACAATCAAAGTTAACTAAATCTGTGACATCTCTCGTATCAAACTTCTAGATTTTAATTCTCAAAACATGTTTACTTCTTTATAAAACTAGATGAGATTGAGATGTGTTCAGGCTCTTAATCTTGCCTTTAAGGTGGCTTTGCCTCCATTTTTTTTCTCAAGACCAAACTTAAACCTTAAGAATTCTGTCAGTGGCTTTTATTTTGAATAAAGTAGGTTTGTACTATAAGCCAGTTTTGTTTGATCTTGCGTATTTTACTACTGAAAGCGTAGCAGAGAACATTATATTTTTTTTACTTTTCTGGCAAGTGGTGGTGGTACTACACAGCAGGACTTTTTCATTGAAATCAACAAAATGATTCCAAGAACTGCCTCGTGGGGCAGGGAGGAAAGCAACCTCATGCGCTTTGGGCAGGTTTCCCAAACATCCTGAACACTGCAATCTTTCAGTCTTACTTGTTTTGGGGTTTTTTTTTTTTTTTTTACTCAATTTTATACAAAATACAGTTAAGACAGTGCCACCTGGTGTGCCGCTGCCCTGTGACCCAGCCTGGCAGAAGCTCCAGCTGAACAGCAGCAGCCAAGGTGTGAGCTGACCTTCCTCGCCCCGCCCACCGCGGTGCTGCTGCTTCCAGCATGCAGGGCTCTTCTCATGCAACCAGTAGTAGCAACTTAAACTGAAAGCAGAATTGTGAAGGAATTCACTACAAAATCTAATCTAACTTAACAGTGAATGGCCTGTTGGGTTCTGACAAGTGCGTGTGACTTTGTTTTAGGCATTGTAAGCCCAAAAGATTTAAGCTTATTCACTTTTCTACTGTTCTGCATTTTTGTTGTTGAAATTTATTAGTAAAATTACTAGCCTGGGAACTATTTTTCACTTTGTGATGTATTATATGGAAAGTTTATATGAAATCCTCTAACTTCACAATACCAAGTCAGTTTCTTCAGTATTTTGATGCAAGAGATCACTTTAAACATTTTCTGCAAGGCAAAGTGACAGAGGTAGAGACAAAAGATCTATCCTGATTTACTTCCCAGAACGGCTGTCACAGCTGGCCTGGACCAGGCTGAAAAGGCAGGAGCCATGAAGTCCATCTAGGGTGCGCATGCCCTTGGACCACCGACCTCTGCCTGTCCAGGCCAGCTGTCAAGAACACCCAGGACTAGCATTGGTGCTCATATTGAATGCATTCTTTGAAGACAGCCATTTGACTTGCTGCATTGCACCCATGTGGGAGACCCTGAAGAGGCTCCTGCCTCCTGGCTTCAGATCAGCTCAACTCTGGCCGCTGCGGCCACTTGGGGAGTGAATCAGCAGAGGGAAGATCTTTTGCTCTGTCTCTCCTCTCTGTATATCTGACTTTCCAATAAAAATAAAATAAATCTCTTTAAAAAAAGATTGGTTAAGTGGAGTACTGTGTAAGAGGGTAGGTTGTGAAGATGTAAAGATAATGACCATTTTTGCATGCATATGATTTTGTTTGTTTGTTTAAGATTTATTTTTTTTTTTATCGGAAAGTCAAATATACAGAGAGGAGGAGAGACAGAGAGGAAGATCTTCCGTCCAATGATTCACTCCCTAAGTGAGTGCAACGGCCGATGCTACGCCGATCCGAAGCCAGGATCCAGGAACTTCTTCCGGGTATCCCACATGGGTGCAGGGTCCGAAACCTTTTGGCCATCCTCGACTGCTTTCCCAGGCCACAAGCAGGAGCTGGATGGGAAGTGGAGAAGCTGGGATTAGAACCAGCACCCATATGGGATCCCGGCACGTTCAAGGCGAGGACTTTAGCCACTTGGCCACCGTGCCGGGCCCCATGCATATTGTTAAATTTAATTGTAACATACGATTCATTTTGTTTAGAGGAGAAATTGGTGTTGTGTTTCTAGTTCATTGATAAGGATAAGTTTCTTCAGTGGCTAAAACGTGATGTGATATTGTCCTCTATGGTGCTATAGAGAGTGGCAGTCTTTGCTTGTCCGTTTATATATTCTAATTTTTCTCCCATTTTTTGTGACAGCTACATGTAAAAATTACTCAGTTAACTACTCAATTCAAAAATGCTTAAACCAGCGCAGTATTTAAACCATTCTTTAGGAGCTACCTTTTTTCTTATGCATATAAATAGCAGTTGGGGGAGGTTTTATTCAACATTGTGACATAATGCGTTTTGTCCCTGTGCTTACATAAAGGTATATGTTGATTTCATTTTTGTTAATTGTCTTTAACAGGTTGGAAAGGGCAAAGAAATTACAAGAACAGCGAGAAAAGGAAATGGTGGAAAAACAGAAGCAACAGGAAATTGCTGCAGGTATCTCCCCGGGAAGTGCAGGAGGAAAGGCAGCTGTGCTGGCCGCCGGGGCACCACGTAAACCTGTGCCTTCCTGCCTGGTTCTGTGTGCAAGTTTTTGTTAACTGCATGCAGGGAATATTTTTGGCAAGTAGGATGCTAACGTTTTGTTCATGCAGTACCTTGGTGCCCGCTGCCAGGTTGTTAAGATAAATAGATTATGTGTATGCTCATCTGCCGAGCACAGTCGCAGGGAGGGAGCGGAGTTGGGAGAGCAGATGTACTGCTCTCTGTTCTCTCCCAAATGCTGCAAGCTCCCGGGCTGGACCCAGGCATGGTGCCTGCCACCATGGCATTGAGCAGGGATGCCACACTTCACCCGCAGCACCACAGTGCTCTCTCTGCCAGCTGTCCATAGCTGCTGGGTTCACTGTCCACTCCTGAGACAACATGAAATCCAGTAGACCACTTCAGCTACAGAGGAGTAACCGGTTAATGTGCTTAATATTTCTGCATGCGTGAGTTCCAGACATCTGGGAATACTCAGTAAATTATAAGGAACCCTAGAAATAGGATACCTTATTGCATTACAGCCAAGAACACCATAGCCTGCTAGTACTGAAACCCTCTTCACCTTTGGAGGGGTTGGAGGTTCGGTTTGGCGGTCAGGGTCGTGCACAGATGCAGTCGGCAGGCGCACACACTGACTGCTCCCTCAGTGCGGATATTGGCCATGCTCCCGCTCAGCTGCTCGGAGGACAGGGCTCCCAAAAACTAGTGGGAAAAACTACATGTGAAAGAAAATAATGAAACTTACCTTTTTATTCTGTTTTTTTTTTTTTTTTTTTTTTTAATTATGGAGCAATTTCATTGGGAAGAATTCTTTGCAAATTAGAAGGCTTTTCTATATCAATATGTTAAAATGTGTTCGTGGACATTTTTGCTTTGTTTTCAAATCCCTGCCCCTTTCTCCTCAGCGGCTGCTGCAACTGGAGGCTCCGTCCTCAATGTGGCTGCCCTGTTGGCATCAGGAACTCAAGTAACCCCTCAGATAGCGATGGCAGCACAGATGGCAGCCCTGCAGGCCAAAGCGCTGGCGGAGACCGGGATAGCTGTCCCCAGCTACTACAACCCAGCGGCCGTGAACCCCATGAAGTTTGCCGAACAAGAAAAAAAAAGGAAAATGCTTTGGCAAGGCAAGAAAGAAGGGGTAAGTTCTGTTATTGCCTTATTTTAGCATTCTGACTAGCAGTTAGCTCAGGGAGTTTGGACTTTCTCTGACCTTGCTTGAATGCTGTAATAATGCATCATTAATGTTGGAATACAACATCTAAAGTAACTTCGTCTTAAATATTTTCTAAAACAAATATGAAATACTTTGGCTTCATGACTTCATAATATGTAGTCTTAAAGTAATTATAAATTCCAAGAGGGTTGTAATTTTTTTTAATTGAAATATTATGGCAAATATTCAGATCATTTAAAAATTGTTAAATTGTATAAATTAACTTCATTATTCCTTAACAGGATAGATCCCAATCTGCTGAAATATGGGAAAAACTGAATTTTGGGAACAAGGACCAAAATGTCAAATTTAGGAAATTAATGGGTATTAAGGTGAGTTAAATTTTGTGTTAACATTCATATGAATTTTCACATATTAGTTTTGAACCTTAAAACATTTGAGTGGTGAGCTCTAGGTATTTTTGTGGTTTTCTCTTTATATTCCCCAGATTAATCCACAGTTTAAACCTAGAGTCATCACTGACAATAGATTGTTCACTCTAAATTAAAATATTTGTCAGATCTTACTGACTTTAGTTTTAGAGTTTGCTCTCTCTTCAGTGCTTGCAGGGAGGAGTTTTCTTGGGAAGTGTCTGGCATTCTGAGCTGTAGAGGCACAGCACGGACAGGCTGGCCAGGCTGGCAGAGACGCAGACCCGTGAACTCGGAGGGCTTGGGTTTTCCTCAAGTGTGTGGCTTCATTGGAGCTGCACTAAGCTGGCTCCATTCTGGGACGTGTCACCTTTGTGCTTGCGATTATCCTTGCTCGTAGTGTTCACTTGGCTGCCTCTATCATTTTATTTTATTTTGTTTTTGTTTTTCTGGAAAGACAGCTCTACAAAGAAGGAGAGATAAATACCTTCCATCAGCTGGTTTGCTTTTCCAAATAGTTAAAATGGCCAGAGCCTTAGCCAATCCAAAACCTGGAGCTGCTGCTGCTCCCCTGCGCAAGTGCAGGATTCCAAGGATTTGGACCATCCTCAACTGCTTTTCCAGGGCCCAGCAGGGAGCTGGATGGGAAGTGGACCATTTAAGGCACAAGCCCGCATCCATATGGGATTCTGGCACTTGCAGGGGAGGAATAGCCAATTGAGCTCGCACTCTGGGCCCCTCTGTAGTCTTTACTGGTGGGGTAGGTGCCTCTTGTTTAAAAAGAGCAAGCAGGCCATGCACAATAGCCTAGTGACCAGATCCTTGCCTTGTGTGTGACAGGATCCCATTTGGGTTCCCGTTCATCTTCGGCTGCTCCAGCTCCTTGCTTGTGGTCTGGAAAGCAAAGACAGACCAAAGCCTTAAGACCCTGCACACATGTGAGAGACCCAGAAAAGTTCCTGGCTCCTGCTTCTGCTCAGCTCAGCTCCATCTGTTGTGGCCACTTGGGGAGTGAATTGTGAGACAGAAGAGCTTTCTCTCTGTGTTTACTTCTTGCTGTGTATCTGCTTTTCCAATAAAAATACATAAATCTTTAAAAAGATGACAAGCACTCCTGTTTCCACTTTGCATTTAAATTTTTCTCTGTGTCATTTCTATACTGTCTGACCTGTTCTAGAGTTTTACAAGGTTTTCACCCCCATTAGCATGGAGCTTTTGTTTATTACATCCTGTGTGTTGCAGACCAAGAAAAAAATTCTGATTCACTGTATGTGCTTAAAAAATGGCGGCAAAGAAATTGACAGCTGTTAAATCTCCTGAAAATCCAATTTAATAATTCTGTTGATAAACTTTGCATTTCATTTTCAGCTAAATTCATTTAATATTTTATATTTCTTGCTTAGAGTGAAGATGAAGCTGGCTGTAGCTCAGTTGATGAAGAAAGTTACAAGACATTGAAGCAGCAGGAAGAAGTGTTTAGAAATCTAGATGCTCAGTATGAAATGGCAAGATCACAGACGCACACACAGAGAGGAATGGGTTTGGGTTTCACATCTTCGATGCGAGGAATGGATACAGTTTGAGAAGATCACACTTGTAACCTTTGGGACTTTATAGACTCGGTCTGAATGTCAGGTCCTTGTTCACCAAACAGCTAGCATTCTAGCTTGCATGGGTGTTGCATTGACTTTAATTTATTGAAAAATACGATTTTGTTTGTAAATATCAGATCCGTGATACTGGTGTTAGTGTTGTAATCAGGTTAAACCCACTTCCATTATACTTGACAGGAATATAGGAGGACAATATTTTTTAGTTCATGAATTCTACTTTTCAAATATATAAAAGCTGCAGGTGAGATAAAATCTCATACATAGATTTTTTTCGTGTCCACTGTCTTGTGTACTTTTGTACTTAACCTTGTACAGTTATTTTCATCTCTTGAAACATGAAAGAAATGTTACATAGATGTTTAGAAGATCGGCCATTTGGTACAAAATCCAGCACAACAAAGCTGGGTGTGATGATAATAAAAATGGTTTTCTCAAAACTGGTGTTAATTTAAGTCACCTGGAATTCTTTGAATTTATTTTATGATTTCTGTAGCATCTTGCGATTGCTATTAGTAAACACTGGCTAAAAACTTTTTTAAAAAAAACAGTTAAGTATGCTACAGGCAGCACCTTGGTTAGCAGCAATGTCCAAGTAAGGAGGGAGAGAATGCATCTGAAAGGAACACTGTTCCTGCTCCTGCAAGGGCAGAGTTGGTGTACAGTACTTGTCAAATATTCCATGTTATTCAGGAAATAGCTTAATGCATTAAAGGGATGTACGCACTTTTATTTTAATAAAGTGCCTTATAACAAGTCCTTTGTATTCCCTTCTCTCGTTATCCTCTCTAGCATAAACTAAAATACTGAAAGATTAGTAAATAACATTGTTGATAAAATAAATACAGCTTAAATCTGGGGCTGCGGGAGACCTACAAAAGTTAGTTTTCTTTCATTTTACCTGGTATTAGAAAAATGTTTTGGAAAAAGTTTAAGTATACCACACAACTTGACATTATACTTTTGACACTGGAACTTTCTGAGAAAATGATGGACATGTGTCAATTTTAACAGTGCCTATGGACCTGACAACGGGATTATGACAATTTGCATGTGTATAGGAACTGATGATACATAACGGGTATGATATGGCTATTGTGGCTCATCTTTTGTGCCAAATATTTTGTCCTTAGCAGTCAGTTGTAAACAAAAGAAAAATTCACGGGTTTGGAAGGCAGAGGTGGGAAAGACCGAGAAACATTTCAGTTTGTAGCTTCACTCCCAAAATGGCTGCAGCAGCCAGGCCAGGAGCTGCTTCTGAGTATCCTGAGGGCGCAGGGTCCCAAGGCTTTCTCTGTCCTACAGCTGTCACAGGCCACGAACCGGGAGCTGGATTAGCAGTGCAGCAGGTGGACCAAGGCATTCTAGCCTGAGGCTGGACAGGCTATGCCATGCCACCAATCCTAAATTTCTGAAATTGTTTTTAATTAACCCATCTCATTTGAAAATAGCTACATTACAAATTAGAATAACCACAGTGTGGCTGGAGAAAGACTGTTTCTGTTTCTGTATAGGAGAGGGAACTACATGCTGTAGCTGAAAAGGCCATTATTTGAAACGCTCCTTGGGCCTGGTGCAGTAGCCTAGCAACTAAAGTGCTCACCTTGCATGCTCCAGGATCCCAAATGGACTGATTCCTGTCCTGACAGCCCCACTTACCATTCAACTCATTGCTTGTGCCCTGGGAGAGCACAAGCTTTGGGACCCTGTACTTGTGGAAGACCCAAAGCTCTTGGCTCCTGGCTTTGGATTGCGTCAGCTCTGGCCATTGCAACCACTACGAGAGTGAATCAGTGGACGGAAGCTCTTCCTCTCTGTCTCTCCTCTCTGTATATCTGATTTTCTAATTTTCTTAAAATCCTTTTAGGAAAGAACAGTTCTAGTGGAGCCATCTCAGATTATACTGAAAGCTTTGGTCCCCCATATTCCCTTCGCGGTTGCTTGCTGTCACTCTCAAAGCCTTGTGCCCTTGTGAATTCTGAGATTTTCATATTTAACAGGGATTGGAAGTATATGTTGCAGACCCTAGGAGGAGAGAACAGCACCAGTGTAAGACATGGTGACTGAGTGAAAGAATGAATAGCCTTGGGCCTGGCGCCGTGGCCTAGCGGCTGAAGTCCTCACCTTGATCCCGCCGGGATCCCATATGGTCACCGGTTCAAATCCCAGCGTCCCCACTTCCCATCCATCTCCCTGCTTGTGGCCTGGGAAAGCAGTAGAAGATGGCCCAAAGCCTTGGGCCCCTGCACCTGCATGGGAGACCCAGAAAGAAGTTCCTGGCTCCTGGCTTCAGATTGGCTTAACTCCAGCTGTTGCGGCCAATTGGGCAGTGAATCAAGTGACTTAAGATCTTCCTCTCTGTATATTTGACTTTCCAATAAAAATAAATCTCTAAAAAAAAAAAAAAAACACCTGGAACGCTGTAACCTTTAATATAGCAGCAGTGTCTAACCAAAATGCTTCAAAAAGGCCTTTATTACTGCAAGATAAACAAAATGGCATCCTACCACTGACGCTTAGCTCACACCCAGTATTCAGTACTATTTTTTAAAAGATTTATTTTGATTGGGAAGGCAGATATACAGAGATGAGAGACAGAGGAAGATCTTCCATCTGATGTTTCACTCCCCAAGCAGCCGTAACATCTGCAGCTGAGCCAATCCGAAGCCAGGATCCAGGAACCTCTTGCAGTCTCCCACAACTCTGAGACGGTTGATATGTTATTTCTGCTCCTTTGTCCTCCCTCTACGGGAGCAGGGACCAGAAACCCTGACTGCCTACGTCCCGTCTGCCTCTTCACCGGCACACCAGGCAGGTGAGGCTTTGTTCCAGCTCAGGGGGGCTTATTTATTTATTGGAAGGAATTCAGCCAGTCACCAACATCCTGCTCGCTCAGAATGTCTAAAATGGCTTCCTCGCGGTCCAGCCTCCGGAGGCAGCCCCTCACCCCGCCTTTCCAGTGTGCAGCAGAGAGCCCCCCGACCCGGGCACGGGTTTATTCATAGTTAGATCTGCTAGTTAAGCGGCCACCCCAGCTCGAAGCCGGGCGCCTCCACCGCTTCCTTCCCAGGGACACTCAGCAGGGCGCTGGGTGACAAGTGGAGCCGGCCGTGCCACGGGCGTTCCCCAACTTCTGTTTTCTGCCTTCTTAAATGTGGGTCCACCTGGGCACCCCACAATCACTGGAGGCGGAGCTCCTTCTGTTGCTTTTAGTGACGGGTGGGTTTCCCGAGTGGCGATGTTTCTGGGCAGCTCGGACTCGCATCCGCTCGGGACACAGGAAGGCGGCCGCCCTGAGCGTCCGCCGACAGACGGCCCCGGGACCGGCGCTGACCGCACAAAGTGAGGCAGTGGCAAGGCGGGAGTCCGTCTGTCACGTCCGCCGCGCCACGGGCTCCCGTGTCACGCAGCGTTCGCGCCCGAGCGGCCTGAACACCTTGGGATCAGATCGGGACAAGACCAGGGAGAGCCCAGAGTTAACCTTCGCTCTCTGACCGCCCGGCCCAGCATGCAGCGCTCCACACACCTCGGCCCGGAAGTGGCTTGAGCGGAGCCGCTGCATGCCGGGAGTTGTAGTCTTCCAGGGGCTCGGCAGCCTCTGCGGCCTGTGCTTCGAGAGGGAAAAGCGAGCGGGGAGGCTCGGCGCGGCCCGGGCCCCAGGCAGCCGCGCAGCCCCACGACCTTCGGCCCCAGCCGAGGTGGCCGGCCCCGCCTCCGGGCCAAGCTTTCCCCACGACCCAAGATGGCGGCCGGGGTGGATTTCGGCGACCTGGAGCTCTTTGAGGCGTTTGGCCACCCGGAGGAGTCGATGCCGAAGCCCGTTCACACCCGCTTCAAGGACGACGACGGCGCCGAGGAGGACGAGAACGGCGTGGGCGACGCGGAGCTCCAGGCGCGGCTCCGGCAGTGCGAGGAGACCATCGAGCAGCTCCGCGCCCAGAATATCCTTGTCGCTCCCGGGCCCCGAGAGCGCGGCCGGGGTTCCACGCCGTGCCTGCCGCGTGTGTGGCCGGCGCAGGGGGTCGCGGGACCCGATCCCAGGGCTTCCAGGGCTGTGGGTTCGCGTGGAGCTCGGACCCCGCTCCTGCCCCCGCAGCCGGCCACGCACCCGGGAAGGCGGTCTACACCCGGGGTCTGGATGCGCGGATGCGGAGTCCGGGTTTTGAGGGATCCGTTCCTACGGGGAGGCTTGGATAAGGGCAGGATTTTAGATTTTGAGATTAATTCCGGGGTTTCTGGCACTTGGAGCTGGGCCGAGCTGTGGTGACGGCTTTGGGGAAAAACGCGCCAAACAGCTTTCCGTGTATGTTGCGGATCCAGAGGGCTTGCGGATTCTCGGTGAATTGACCAGGAAATCTATTTAGACTCTCAAAGAGTTTTTTAAACTGTATGCAGATAATTTTGTTTCCTTTTAATGTTGGTGGGGAAACCTTAACATGGCCGGTGGGCCAGCTTGAGGAGTCTCTCCTAGTCTGATTCATTTTCCCGTGGGGCATCTTATTATGAAAGATGTCAGCATGCGAAACGGCTGGAACAGGTGTGCGACAAGCTTGCACCCCAGATGGTTCAGTCATATAAAAGTTTGCGGCACCGCGTTTGCTTTAGCCCGCAGCCCCAGGCGTTTTTCATTGGCTTCTTGGAACTTTCCATCGGGACTCCACGTTTCTGGTTCAGCCCAGTAGCCGCTTGAACTCTGCTGCCCCATCTTAACAGTTGTTGTCCGAAGTCATGAGAAGCATATTTTGATTGTTTTGTCGCGTGGCCAGGTAGGAGGTGAGTGTGTGTTGCAGCCTCACTGTGCCCTGGATGTCCTATGTGCCAGCTGCTAAGTGGAAGGAGCCGTATTTGAATTTCACCATCTGCATGATTCTGTTGAGTAAGAGCTTATCTTCCTTAATAAGTAATAACATCTGGAACTTAAAAGAAAATTGAACATTCTGACTCGACCGAGGTATGAGATCTTCAAATTGACCCGTGTTTGTCCCTCTCCTGCTGGCACTGTATAATCATAATCTCCTTGTAGAAAAGGAACAGGATTTTTGTGTCATTTTTATTCTTCGACATACTCTGAAGTTGTCAGTAATGATCCTTTATTTTTATTGCAAAGTCAGATACAGAAAGGAGGAGAGGCGGAGAGGAAGATCTTCCTTCCCATGATTCACTCCCCAAATGGCCTCAGTGGCTGGAGCTGAGCTTATCCAAATCCAGGGTCTCCCACGGGGTGTAGGGTCCCAAGGCTTTGGGCTGTCCTCAGCTGCTCTCCCAGGCCACAGGCAGGGAGCTGGATGGCAAGTGTAGCAGCCAGGAAACAAACCAGTTCCCATATAGGATCCTGGCACATGAAAGGACAGGATTTAGCCATTGAATATTTATTTGTGAGACACTTTAGCGGCTTCTAAGAATGTGTTTTCATTTCTGTTTTAGTGGAATATTGGTGAACAATACTAAACTAGACGGGCCTTTACTGCAAATTCTGTTTATGAACAACGCTATCTCAAAGTAAGTAATTTTTCACTTTTGTAAAAAAGAGTTACTATGTTTACCCAACAGTGTCTTCCATAAATGTGTGCTGGTTTTCATCTTTATTATTTTACTTTAAATGTTGTTGGAGTTAAGATTAGGAAATCCTGTTTGCAAACAAGAACATGGGGATTGTGAAAGCCTGAGCTGGGGTCCCTAGATTCCCTCCGCGCTCGGCCTGTGCACCTGCTCCCATCTCGGAGCCCAGCTGCATTTTCAGCTTCTTTCCTGCAAACAGGGAACTGGCAGTGACTGCCGATGAAGACAAGCCTCACTCCCACTAACAGTCCATGGTGACTGTTGGAAGCCTACCCCGTGATTATTTTTTATTAGCAAAGCTAGACCGTTGCAGGCTTCCCAGCACGCTTGGGTTTCTAGTAACTCATTGCATTCCTGTGGTGCTTGCTAGAGTGTTCTGAAGTGGTTTGAGGCCTTGTCCTGTTGCTTCCTCAGGGCGTGGTCGTAGGCACTTCACACAGTTGCTTGATCCTTCTATGCTGGCCACGCTAAAGGTTCTGCTGTCCTGTCCCTGAAGTGGGACTCAGGGGAGGGGCTGCATGGACACAGCAGCGGCACGGTCAGCCTTGGGCACTGCTGTCCATCCTCGTTGTCCTGTCCCACCCCACCGGCCATCAGGAGCAGCCAGGCTGCTTACACCACTCGGACCTCAGACAGGGAAAGTTGAGGCTGCAGAGGGGGTCCTGGGAGGTGTGGCTGCCTGAGGTCGGCTGCTGGCCCTGTGCAGCCAGTGGCCTGGTGGTTTTCTTGGATTGGGTTACATTTCGCCTGTGTCTTTCCCAGCTTCATATTTATGAGTGTCTCCTGTGCGTGTGGAGTCTTTGGGAGGACAATCTAGAGTAACTGACACTTCAGGAAATCCCTCTTGTATAAGTAGGTGACTAGAAGGCAGGAGAGGAATTTTTCATTATGTAATTTGAGCTTCTGGATTTTGCGCCATTTACTCACAGAATGTGTTTCAAAGTTAAGTACACAGAATGTCTAACTAGTAACCATCAGTCTTTGCAACTGTGTGGCAGCTGCTCAGTGCTGGCACTGTTAGGTTGTTATAGCCATTTTGCCAACTTGGCAACAATGTGCATTTGAGTAAGTTTGAGAATGTTACAGAGCGAGTGATGTAGGTAACCTCTCAAAAGCAAAATGACGAAATTAATGCATAACGTAAGAATGTATAAGACTTCAGTGTAACGTTTTGCTGTTTTAATTCTGACTGTTTTGTCCTTTTATACAGGCAATATCATCAAGAAATAGAGGAATTTATATCAGATTTAGTAAAAAGATTTGAGGAACAGCAGAAAAATGATGTGGAAAAGACTTCCTTTAATCTTTTGCCCCAGGTATTTCAAATTTGAGACTTTAATTAAGATTAATAGGTTATGCTAATCAGTGCGGGTTGTTAGGTGGTGAGGCTCCTCGCGCATCAGAACTGAAGTGGTTGTGGAACTTGCCTGTTCACTTCCCATCCTTCCAGCACTTCCTCATTGGGCTCCCCACCCAGCGCCTGCCTTAGGCGGCTGCGGGTTAGACTCCTGGCTTCCTAGCTGGGAAACATGGGTTTGGGCAAATTAATTTCAAGACTGGAAAAAAATTTTCTAGGGATTATAAAAGAATTTTCCTACCTAAGATCAGAATCATGTGCCTTTTTTATATGAGAATAAAATCAGAATTATGATTCTAGACTTAAAAATTAAGGTTGGTTGAGTCTGTCAAATCAGACTCTTGAGCCATGCGCCCTCGGGAGCCGGAGAATGGAGTAGTACAGGTTTTTTTTCCTTTTTCTTGAGTAGTACAATTCTTAAGCGTTTTTCATTTTTATGCATCGTGTAGAGTTTTTAAGAATTATAGCTTTTTTGAACATGCTTTAATTTTCTTATTTAAGGAGCACCTCAACATTATGTAGTAGTGTCAGATCCCTGAAGGTTCTTATTGGTATTAACTGTTTTTAAAATTTTCTTGAATATGTAATTTGCCTGGCTACTTTAAGTGTTGAAAGTTCCATAGTGTTGATAACACAGACCAAAGTGCATGCTGACAGCTCAGAAAAAGCTCTGTTTGTATCTCTTTCCATTTTTTCTTCTCTTTGTTGAATATTCCAAGCTTGCCTACTAAACCCATTCTAATCAATAGCACAACAAATCCAACGAATCCTTGGTGGTGTGTTGGAAATAGAACTGTGTGTCCAGGTTCCTATGGTTTGAGATTTCAGTTTGCTACAAATTGTTCAAATTGTGATGCCCGTTTTCCTTTGCCTCAGCCATCCAGTATTATGTTGGAAGAGGACGGCAAGGTAGAAGATTCCTGTGCCAGTAAAACCAGCAAGGAGGCTTTCAGTGTAAGTGGTGATGCTTGAACGTTGAATCCTGCCGGGGCGGGTCCTGTTTCAGCTGGATGCATTCACCCAAGTGACAGGTGTGCAGTAGTCCGCCGCATGTTCTGTAAGTCCTGGAGGATTCACCCTTTAACTGCCGTCGGTGTCTGTACTACCGCCCTGTGTCCTGGGCACACGCGCACATCAGAGCACTTTGCTTTTGTCCTCTCCACAGCTTAGTGTTTATTTCCAAGAGCTTGAATGAAGACCTAGAATGCTTGCTAGTTGAGCTTCCAGAAGGATGACACATAAGATAGATCGCTAGTGGAAACAAATGGCAGATTTGATGGGAAATAGCATCTAAAGATGCATCTGTGGATGTGAGGGCGATCTGGCTGCGACATCTGTCACCCCATTGATCGCCAGGGTTGATTCGGCTGATCTGGCTGGCTAGGCGGGGGTCTCCTTCCTCCCTCACCGCTCCACGTGCGTCCCTCCCGAAGCTGCACGCTCAGTCGAAGAGGACGACCATCCCCGCTAGAGGAGGACCGGTCTTCGGTCAGGGGTATACGAGTAGCTGCACTCCCCTGCTAGAACCTCCAAACAAGCTCTCAAAGATGCATCTGTTTTGGTCCAAAAAAGCTTCTAAATGTGTATACGTGGAAGGTCTTCAAAAATACATATATAATGCAAAAGTCACACATGGGTTTTCCTGCAAAAGCAACATCCTGTCTGCCTTTCCACAAACTTCTGAGGTCCCTGCATGTGATTGGAGCTCCTGTGCTGGCTGAGTCACAGTGAAGACATAGGACTCCACCTGTAGGGTGAGAAGGCCTTGGGAGATGTCAGGTGTGATGTGACCGGACTCGCACTGCTCCACGGCAGGTGACGCACAGAAGCGGGGACACAGTGGGAGAGTTGTTAAATGTGTCAGGATCTGATGGTTTTCTCCCAGTGAGACTGAGAGAAGAGGAGGCTGGCTGTCCCTGGGAAGTGGAGCCGACCAGCATGTGGGTCAGCTGGGTGTGGAGTCCACGGACAGGAGCAGGATGACTTGGGGGCTTGCTCTGAGCAGGTGGAAGGATGCCACTGACTTCTGTGAAGCCTGGAGGGGAGCAGGACCGGGGGGCTGGCGTCCAGGAGGGGCAGAACATGACCATGGGAGGCGGGCAGTCTGCGTTAAACTCCGCGCCCTGATCCGGGGCCATCACTGGGGAGTGAGAATAGAGAGCATGAGGAGAGCACCCAGGCTGGCTTGTGCAAACGGGATGAGCAGGGTCTGGCAGCAGTGCTCGGCAAGGCAGGGAGAGGGCAGCAGGCTGGCCTGAGGACGACGGCTGTGAGGAAGTCACTGGCAGGCTCTACCGTCAGCAAGTTTAGTGTCCTGATAGGAATAGCAGGGAGAATGGTAGTGTCTTTATAAAGGAAAGCAGGAAGAAGAATGTTTTAGATTTAAAAGGACTATAAAGTTAACGTCTAAATGTACTATGTGTACCTTCATTGAATTCTAGCTTGGGGAGAACTGTAAAGGCACTCGGATGAGAGCTGGGAGAATGAACACAGGTGAAGAGAGAAGTTACTGATTTCCTTAGACGTGATGATGGTGTGTGGTTTCTATGCCAACTGGCTGCTTTGCAGATAGCTCAGACGGAAATGTCAGTGTCTGCAGCTGATGTCACAGGGCTCCGCACGCTGTGGGGTGTTGGGGTGTGTGCAGTGGGGGGGTGACATGCACAGAAGTATCCAGTGAAATTAGCAATTATGTTTTTATTATAAGTTGTCTGAAATTTTATCCAGAAATTGAAAGGAAAAGAATCAATGGAAATAGTAGCTATATATTGGGGTCTTAAAACAGAAGCAGAAAAGTGAGATGTTGCGAAAACTATGGCTTCTATCTTCAGCTCCTCCAGCCCCTCCAGCCTGGGAGTTCATGTCTATCATTTCATCCAAAAAACTTGTTGAAACAGCTCATCACAGTCTTACATACTCATGCCTTTCTTTTTTCCTGCTTAAATAGCAATTTTTTTGACTTGTTTTTGCAGGTTGTAGGAAGTGTCCTGTATTTTACTAATTTTTGCCTTGATAAATTGGGGCAGCCACTGCTAAACGAAAACCCTCAGCTCACCGAAGGATGGGGAGTGCCCAAGTATCCTACCTAGTGGCCGACAGCACTGTGCACCTGCACCCAGCTCAGCTGCCCAACACCATAACTATTCCTTAACCCGCTTCCCTAAAGGTACCAGCAGGTCTTCAGCCACATTGTTTCTCTAGAAGGGCAAGAAATACAAGTAAAGGCAAAAAGGTTTGTGTGGGGAGTTGTTTTGGTTTGGTTTTTTATTTATCTATTTATTTATTCTTAGCCAAAACCATAAGCTCTTTTACCTTGAAATGTTAATTTTCTTTATTGCTGGTTTACTATAAATTCAGATTAAGTTAGAATGTTAATGTATGCACATACAGTAAATGTTTAAATTGATTATCTGTTTTTGGGATTCACTCCTGCCTGTGAGCCCCGGGGCCGGTGGCCTGCTGAGCCCCGGGCGGGGCGGTGGCTGGTTGCAGATCACTCGACAGCTGCAGGAGAGAGCCCGCCAGGCAGCAGCTCGCGGCGCTTGGTCAGAAGGCTGGCTTGTGTCAGCGATGGAAGTGATAGCCGCGGGTGCTCCTTGCACCTGCATTATTCCATGATATACTTTGATATTGTACAAAAATCTTACCCATCTGCATGTACATTATAATTTACATTATGAAAATCTCTTGTGCCTTTCTTTTTTTTTTTTCTTGCAAAACAGACCAAAGCCTCACTGTTTCAACTGTGGTTCTGAAGAGCATCAAATGAAAGATTGTCCAATGGTAAATGTTTCTCATTTAAAAGCGCATCGTTGAATGGACATCAGAGCTCATGTGCTCCGCACGTTTAGGGCATTGTGTGATATGAGAAACACTTCCTCTGCAGCTTTCCTGTATTGCTTTAATTTAAAACCTTTGAAACTCCTGCTTAAAATAATACTTTTTTTTTTGAACTATAAAAAAATATATATATATATTTTTTAGATTTATTTTTATTATGTTTTTATTGGAAAGGCGGATATACAGACAGGAAAGACAGAGAGGAAGATCTTCCGTCTGCTGATTCACTCCCCAAGTGAGCGCAACGGCCGATGCTATGCCGATCCGAAGCCAGGAGCCTCTTCCGGGTCTCCCACGCGACTGCAGGGTCCCAAAGCTTTGGACTGTCCTCCACTGCTTTCCCAGGCCACAGGCAGGGAGCTGGAAGGGAAGTGGGGCTGCCGGGGATAGAACCGGCGCCCATATGGGATCCCGGGCGTGGAAGGCGAGGACCTTAACCACTGTGCCACTGCGCCAGGCCCAAAAAAATATTTTTTTAAGATTTATTTTATTTTTATTCGAAAGTCAAATGCACAGAAAGAAGGAAAGACAGAGAGGAAAATCTTCATCCAAGCGGCCACAATGGCAACAGCTGAACCAATCTGGAGCCAGGAGCCTTTTCCAGATCTCCCACACGGTTACAGGGTTCCAAGGCTTTGGGCCGTCCTCAGCTGCTTTCCCAGACCACAAGTGGGGAGCTGGATGGGAAGTGGGGTTGCCGGAATTTGAACCAGCGCCCATATGGGATCCTGGCACGTGCAAGGTGATGACTTTAGCCACTAGGCTACTGTGCCAGGCCCAACAAAGTTTAAGATATTGAGGTGAAATAAATAAAGTAATGGTTCTTTGCTTTTCTAAGCTATCCATCCTGTTCTACACTTGCTCCTTACACATTAAAAATTTAAAAAGCCTGTTTGACCTAGAAAACAGTGAGCATTTTTAATGAATGTTTGTGACTTGCTTGGCATCCTTGTTTTCCACTGTGATTAGCCCCGGAATGCCGCACGAATCAGTGAGAAGAGAAAAGAGTACCTGGAGGCCTGCGGGGAGGCGAGCAGTCAGGGTTTCCAGCAGCGGTACCACGCGGAGGAGGTGGAAGAGAGATTCGGCAGGTTCAAGCCCGGAGTCATCAGGTAGTGCCACCGGCGGGCCCTGGAACGTGCCGTGGGTGCAACATTCCGGGGGATCACGTGGCTGCACGTGTCCTCGGGCAAGGCCCTTAGCAGTGTGCAGCAGTCACAAGCGTTGGTTGAAGTTTTAACTCCACCTCAGGCACTGTGTTACCCTCTATGTCATAGAAAACAAATTCTAAGCCATCAGAACACGGCCCATAGTCATGCAATTTCCGTTCCTTTTCCCGAGTGAGGAGCTTCAGGACGCACTGGGCGTGACCGACAGGAGCCTCCCGCCCTTCATCTATCGGATGCGCCAGCTGGGCTACCCGCCAGGCTGGCTCAAGGAAGCTGAACTGGAGCACTCGGGACTGGCCCTCTACGATGGGAACGGTACAGTATACGTTAGCACATGATAGTTTAGGAATGACCGGCTTGTTTATTTTGTGCTGAATTTGCTGAAAAACACCATGATGCTGTTCCCATTGTCACAAGGAACTAAAGCTTCAGTGTGTCCACAGAATTACAAGTAGTTAGCTGGACCTGCCGCGTGACTGCCTTCCTTGGCGTGTCAGCTCCTCAGTCGGTCCCCAGACTCTCGCCTCCACATTAAAGGTAGCAGATACAGGCCCACCAGGGCCGAGTGATCTGTATCAGAGTACAGGAGCTGTGTGATGGTCTGGAGTCTGTCCTGGATGCGCGCCCCACAGAGCCACACGTGCTGCACTGCCTACAATGGAGATCTAGCCCCAGCTGCTGAGTCCGCGGGCGTCTTCCCTTTTTTTTTTAAGATTTATTTATTTTTTACTGGAAAGTCAGATATACAGAGAGGAGGAGAGACAGAAAGGAAGATCTTCCGTCCAATGATTCACTGCCCTGGGTCTCCCACGCGGGTGCAGGGGCCCAAGGCTTTGGGCCGTCAACAGCCTTCCCAGACCACAGGCAGGGAGCTGGATGGGAAGTGGGGCTGCTGGGATTAGAACCAGCGCCTATATGGGATTCCGGTGCATGCAAGGTGAGGACTTTAGCCGCTGAGCTACCATGCTGTGCCCAATGAACATTTTTATAGTGCTTATACTGTGGGCCAAATGGCAATTTTAGTTAAGACAATGGTTTATGCACATTTCCTTATGTGTATTAACTCAGTTAACCTTTCTCATGATCCTGAGAAAGTCCTATTACGGAGTCTGCGCTGTGGTTTGGAAGGTGAAGCTGCTGGAAACACGGAAAAGGCTCCTGGCTCCTGGCTCCTGGCTTCAGATTGGCTCAGCTCTGACCATTGCAGCCGCTTAAAGAGTGAATCATTGGACAGAAGATCTTCCTCTCTGTCTCTTCTCTCTATATATATCTGACTTTGTAATAAACATAAAATAAATCTTTAAAAAAAAAATACAGCATAGACAAATAAAATGGGTATGGCCAAGACTTAAGCAATCCAGAGATGAACCAAAATTTCTGAGGTTTTTAAATCCTTTTTTTATCAAAGAAATATTCCATTATTTTTAAAAACTAGAATTGAAGTCATTCCCAGTGTGATTGTGTGTGGGCGGGATGCGTGAGCACCCAGCACTGCTGACGCCTCCCTGCTGACCTCTGGCAGATGACGCGGAGGGCGAGACGGAGGCCGGAGAGGTGCAGCAGAATAAAAGTGTCACTTACGACCTCTCAAAATTGGTAAACTATCCGGGTTTCAATATTTCAACTCCCAGAGGAATTCCAGATGTAAGTATATCAGATACTGTATTCTTCTAGGACGGCACGTTGTTATGTTAAAGATTTTTCAAAGTTCATTCAAGCTTCTCAGTGTCACTTCCTTTCTCTGTCTCTGCCTTTCAAATAAATTGTTTTAAATCTCTTGAAAGAAAAATTATTAACTTGTTATAATAGTAGAGAAGTAAGCTTGTTATTTATGTATTTAATTCTGTGTTGATTACAATCTGAAAATTATTAATTAAAATTAGAATTTTAATCGTAACAGAGTTCCTTATAACTAGATAAAATACATCAGCCTCTGTAAATGTACAACTATTACTTTTTAAGAATTACCTGGAAAGCGGATTTCTAATAAAGCTAAGTGTGCTATCATGTTTTCCGCTTGTGCATGGGAGCGGCTTTTCCTTCTTGCTCTCTGCCAGCTCTCACCTGTTTCAGGACTCAGCAGTGACTGAACACGTGTGGAGTGACTGGCTCGCAGGGTGCGGCTCGGCGGGGCCACCGGTGATGGCCGCCCGCAGTGGGCCAAGCGCCAGTCTCGTGCCCGGTAGAAATGCACGCACTGGCCGCCCACACCTAGACCCAGCTGACTCGGACCCTGGCACCTGCAGGTCTCCTAGGCCATCGGCTTAACTCATTATAACATGACCCTGGTCACTCCTCATGGTTAATAAAGGAAAAGTCAGCTGAAAATCTGTCATTTGATCTGAACCCTGCACTTTGCTTCTTCTGAGCAAAATCTGAGAATGTATTTCCCGCGCGCGCTGTTTCCCACTAGGAGTGGAGGGTGTTCGGCTCCATCCCCATGCAGGCAAGCCAGCAGAAGGACGTGTTCGCCAGCTACCTGCTTGCCAACTTTCAAGCGGTGAGTCGGTTTCAAGGGTGTGGTCTGTGCCGGCGCAGCGCATGGGACTCTGCAGCATCCTGCTCATGTTCTTGCTTTGCATAGAAGCCGGTCTTTCTCATCTGAATCGGGAAGAAAGCAGGCAGGCCACAGTGATTTCCTGGGCGATATGTCAGTGACGGGGCGAGGGCTCCTTCTGTGTCTGCCCTGTCTAACTGCTGTTGGGTTCCGTTTCTGCTGCAGCCGGGTGCAAAGTCTGGCAGCAAGAGGTCTTCCTTCCAGTCCAGCCCCAGGAGCTCCAAGAAGCAGAAGAAGGAAGGCAGCTCGGCATCCTCCCCCACAGACATGGAGCTCGACTCGGGTAGGTCCCTGCTCCGGGTTTGGTTGTGCTGCATGGGACAAGCTGCCTGGGAAATCTTTATTTCACTCTTGAGGGGCAGAGCAGCACCACACTGGTCAGCGCAGAGCCGGGATCGGCCTGGTGGCAGAGCTGCTCAAGCTGAAAGAGCCAGTTGGGAGGCACACACGGAATCCACTGTGCTAGTCGCAGCCTTGCTTGAGGCCAGTGGCCCCATCACTGCTGCTGACACGATGTCTGCAAGACTTCTCAGCTGCATTTCCCAGTTTTACACAGAGATCCTTTTACACTGCGTGGGGGGAAAGAAAAAGAAACTGTGGCCTACTGCACGCTGTGGCATAGCCGGGAAAGCTGCTGCCTCCAGTGCTGGTATCCCATCCTAAGTGCGCACTGGTTCATATCCCAGCTGCTCCACGGCTGATCCCGTTCCCTGACGAAGGCCTGAGAAAAGCAGCAGAAGGTAGTCTATATGTTTAAGATCTGCCTCGCACGTGAGAGACCCAGATGGAGCTGCTGGCTCCTGGCTTCGGCCTGACTTAGCACTGTTATCTGTCTCTCTATTTCTTCCTCTCCATGAATCTGACTTTCAAGTAAAGAATACATCTTTTAAAAAATGAACAAGCAGGAATTAGAAGGAAGCCAGAGCTTAGAGTGAGCTTGGCCCAGGCTTGCAGTGCCGCGTCTGGCCCGAGGAGGGCAGCCCTGAGCCCACGCCCTCCAACAACACGGGCCAGGGCAGCAGAGACGGACCCGGGCAGCAGGGACGGGCCCGGGCAGCAGGGACAGGGACGGGCCTGGGCAGCAGGGACGGGTCCAGGCAGCAGGGATGGTCCTGGGCAGCAGAGACGGGACGGGCCAGGGCAGTAGAGATGGGATGGGCCAGGGCAGCAGGGACGGGAGCGCTCCTGCCTTTCCTCTCAGGTCTGTCCTGGAAGTCCGGTGCAGCAAAGGCCTTGTCCTTTGATGCTGCCCTTGTTCTTTGTTCTTACCCACCTGAGCGTGAGCACACGTCTGCGGCCTGCCAGTGTGTGACAGTTCTGAGCAAGCACTCAGGGCCAGCAGCCGTGAGAAGCAGGAGCTGGAGCTTCTGGAACCTGGATTGCTCCCCAGGTCTGCTGCTGGGTGCTGTAGACTTTGTCCCCAGCGGGCACTGGAATGGCTTTAAGCATCATTGCGTTAATTACAAGGACATTGTAAATCCTTTGCTACAATTCTGCTCCTTGTTCTCTTTACCGTCCGAGATGAGGTTCTGTTTGGTCCTGTGGTGTGTCAGTTGTGAAATGAGTGGAAGTGCAGGCATTAAGATAAAATACAGGGGCCTGGCGCGGTAGCCTGGTGGCTAAAGTCCTCACCTTGCATGTACCAGAATCCCACATGGGCTCCAGTTCTAATCCCGGCAGCTCCACTTCCCATCCAGCTCCCTGCTTGTGGCCTGGGAAGGCAGTTGCAGACGACCCAAAGCCTTGGGCCCCTGCACCTGTGTGGGAGACCTGGAGGAGGCTCCTGGCTTTGGATTGTCTCCACTCCAGCCATTGTGGCCGCTTGGGGAATGAACGAGCAGATGGAAGGTCTTCCTCTCTGTCTCTCCTCCTCTCTGTACATTTGACTTTCCAAAATACAGAAGATACTGTGATGACAGCTGTCAATAGGGCACGTGAACATCTTCTCTGATTCTCAGGAAGGGTGTGGCAGGCCAGACGGATCCCTGACGGCGCAGGAGACTGCACAATCCACGCTGCCAGGTGCCTGGCTGCCCGTGTGGCCGTGGCCTGCGCATGCTGTTCCCACATCATCAAGCTCATTGGTGGGCTTCCCGCATTCAGAGGCTTGCTTTCACCTCCTGCTGCTGCTGTTTATTATTATCATTATTATTATTATTAGTTTATTTATTGGAAAAGCAGAGCCACAGAGAAAGGTCTTCCATCCACACCCCAAATGGCTGCCCTACCCATATCTGGGCCAGGCTGAAACTAGGAGCGAAAACCGCACCCTGGTCTCACAGGCGGCAGAGGCCTCGGACTGTCTTCCACTGCCTTCCCAGGCACAGAGGCGAGAAGGCGGATTAGGAGTAGAGTGTCCAGGCCAGAGTGGAAGGGAGGCTCGGAGCCGGAGCGGGAGGCAGCTCCTGCTGGGGCCGAGGGAGCAGAGGTGTCTTGTCCCGAACAGGGGGCGTCTACAGGGTGTTGAGGACACTGATCAGTGGGCTTTGGAAACGCAGCCTTGCGTGTGGGTCAGGCAGTCAGATCAGAGAAGCAGCGCTGGGCAGCCCCTCCCTGGGGTCATGGCCGGCCTGGACTTGCGGCTGGACTTCTCGAGGCCTCCCAAGTGTTCCTCCTTCATTTGGTTGGGACAGATGTGGGTCCCTCATGGCTGTGGCCACTGTGGCAGCCCCACAGGGTCACAGCAGCTCTCTGCAGGGGACACTTTGCCCGCTGGCGGCCCCCTGAAGCTGTGGCCACTGGGGTGCAGCCGTGGATGGCAGGGGAGCCAGGGCTGTGCAGCTGGTGACAGACCTGTCCTCTTTCTTCCAGACTGCTCCCCGTGCAGTGGAGGCTCCCATTTCCAGCCACCTTTACCACCCGGCACTCCCCCACCGCTCCCCCAGGGGGCATCTTCCCCCGTCTTCACCCCACCACTCCCCAAGGGCACCCCACCGCTGACCCCCAGCGCCTCGCCGCAGCCCCGAATGGCATCGGGGGCCGTGGAGGAGGACGCGCTGACCCTGGAGGAGCTGGAGGAGCAGCAGAGGCGGATCTGGGCGGCTCTGGAGCAGGAGAGCACCCACAGCGACTCGGACCTGCCTGTGGACACGCCTTTAACTGGAAATTCTGTTGCCTCATCGCCTGGGCCCAGTGAGCTGGACCTCCCTATGCAGGAGGGCAACGCCCACGACAAGCAGCAGCTGGAGCTTCCAGAACCTGTAGAACTCGGCGATTGTGCCCAGAAAGCAGAGGCTGGCCCGTGTTCGAGTCCCGGGCCCGAGGCCCCGGCACCGGCTCCGGAGGAGGAGGTGGAGCCCGCCCCACTGGACTCGAAGGCTGCTCCGGATGGCAGCAGCGTGGCCTCCCCCCGCGACGTCCCCAACGGAGGCAGCCAGGTGCTGCGGACTGCGGGCTGCAGCCCATCCCTGGCCACCAAGGGCCACAGCCCTGTCCCCGACATGAGCAAGTTTGCCACAGGAATAACACCGTTTGAATTTGAGAATATGGCAGAATCCACAGGGATGTACCTCAGGATACGAAACTTGTTGAAGAACTCACCCCGCAACCAGCAGAAAAACAAAAAAGCTGCCGAGTAACTGCTGGCGGCAGCGCAGGCAGTGCGGGCCCCGGCTCTGTGGCCTGTGCTCTGTCCCTGGGCCACGCCGGCCAGCTCGGCAGGGCAGTCATGTTGCTGTCTACACCTGCCACGTTTTGAAAGATCTCTCCAAGACTGAATTGTGGTGGACAGGAAGAGGGGGACTGGGCTCCTGGTTGCTGTATTTTGTTGGCAAACGGGGCGCGGGGGGCTGTGAATCCGAGATGGCTTGGGATCGTGAGTGTCCATCAAGAGTAATGATTTTTAATCTGTCTTTTCTACATTTTGCTAATTCTCCTGTACACAAGTTTAATATATCACTTTTTTTACAAGAAAGAGATTCTAACCATTTTCAGATTCATGTTTCAGCTCCAGCAACCACATGAGGACAGTGAGGGCTGAGCCGTGGGCACAGGCGGGCACAGGCGGGTGCAGGTGGACACAGGCGGGCCACAGCCCAGGCTGCTCTAGCCGCCCTTCTGCCCTCTTGCCTTCATTTCCCTCCCAGACCTGCCGTACAGGCGCGCTCACCTGTGCACAGGGGTTTCAGAAATCAGCTTTGACGTTAATCTAAGACTTTGGATATGGGATAAGGGATCCACGGTTAAATTAGAAAATGTTGTCTTTTAGGTTTGGAAGTAAATTATGTAACTAAAAAGAATAGTGACAGCAGGTGAATACAATGTTGCAAGTTGAGGTGCTCTCACTAGATTTCAGCCTCAAGCAGGTTTTTTTTAAGTGATTTTTTTAATTGATATATTTAATTATATATCGTAGATTTGGATCCTGAGATGGTTTAAGATTACGAAATAGGTATATGCAAAGTGCTTTTAATGACCAGATATAGAGGACGGAGCTGAAGCCCCGCTTCGCTCCCTCTTTGTGCTTGGTCAAGGTCCCTGACTCGGGCCTGGTGTCCTGTGTGCCGACCAGCAGGGGGCGCACATAGATGCAGCCGCGCTGGATCTGTCCGGGAGAACCTGAGTGCCGGGTGCACAGTGTGTAAGCGATAATGGGAAGGAAGCTGCATGGAGGGGTAAGTCTATTCCTAAGGCCCTCACAAGTGCTAGACGTGGGACAGTCTGTTAGCTGGACGTCCCCTGGAGTGGGAGCGCACGTCTGCCATGCTGCTGGGCGTTCCTGCTACCATCATCACCGCCCATTTCTAGGCGGTCGGAGGGCCAGCACCCAGGAAGTGGCTCTCAAGAGCCAATCTGTTTTAAAAAAAACATTGTTTACAGAGTTGAGAGAGATGCATGCCCACGTGGGTCTCAGATGAGGGTGGGGAGGAAAGGTCAAGGTGTGGAGGAAGCTGGGTGGGACAAATGTTTCAATTTTTCTTTTCTCCTGTATCCATAGGCAAGGAGAGAGAGGGACCACTCCTTGCTGTCAAACTACCTGAGCACCTGGGGCTGGGGAAGGTCATCTGATGACACCTTAGAGGCTCTGCTGTGGGAAAGAGTGTTCAGGGTGTTCTGAGTGATTCTGATGGTTCTGAGGCGTCATTGGCCTCCTCACACCAGAGTGGAAAAACCCAAGGCTGCTGGCCTCCCAGGCCACCTTAGTGCATCTGCAAGCCCAGACACAAGTTGCAAAGCTTGGCCTGGAGAGTAGGCCAACCCACTCTACTTTCCATCCTTTCACGGGGCACTCGACGCCCTTGGCTGCCCATCATGTCCCGTAGGTGCATCTGGGAGTGCTGTCCACTGCACAGCCATCAGCAGCTGAGGAGGCCCGGCCCTGACACGTGCACGGCAAGATTGGACAGCAGATACTGTGATTTTTCTCTGGCTGGAGTTTGAGTTCGGCTCTACTTGGGGAGTACCCCAAGAAACGTCGCCTGGGGTGAGAGCAGCCGCTGTTGGTGCCACCTGTCCACTATTCCCTAAATCACAGAAGTGGTTGAAGTGCCCCTGGGGGCCCTGCCCTGGGCTGGGTATCCGTGAACCCCAGACTTGTCCAGCTTTCTCCGTAGCCCCTGCCCAGTGCCGTCACAGTCACCCCGTCAGGTAGGTGGCAGTGCAGGTGACTGAGATCCCTAACACTTAGCTGCTCAGCCCGCCTCTCTGACCCCCCTGCTGTGGAAGCACTGCATTCTCAAAGACTCGCTCCTACTTTTCTCATGCTGCCGAAGCTCACTCGTGTCACGTGTTCAAGAAATTGTGACAGAATCCCCCATTGGAGAGTTCAAGGTGCCTGGTCCCCTCCTCGTTACTGTCCAGTTCAGGGAGTGCCCAAACCACAGGTAGCAGACTCATCTGGGGGTGTTTGAAGACTTCTGAGGGAAGAGCCCTTGAGTGGCCTCTCAGAGTGGAGGCCGTTTCCACACAGACAGCGGGAGCACAGGTGGGCAGAAGAGGCGAAGCAGGCGCCGGCACAGCAGGTGCAGGAGAGTGGGCAGGGTGGCTACGAGTGTTTTCTTAGTCGTGGGTGCTGAGAACTCTGAGCTTCAGGGTTTGGATTTCATGAAGGAAACAGACCTGAGATGTGACCATGGGGATGGCCTCATCCGCTTACTTCCTTGGAAGATTAAAACCTAAAGCAGGAGTTAGACCAGTCAAGAGGGAGGGACATGCTTTACAGAAGGGGGCGCCACCCTGGGACAAGGTTACCTCTGGGTGAGGCCCCGGCTTTTAAAAGGAGTACCCTGTTGGTGTGTTGGGTGGAGAAACCCACTGCTGTCTGGGCTTGTCTTGACTGTGACAAGTTTCCAGATATGGGGCAACAACAAACACTCGTATTTCAAGATGGACTTGGGATGGGGTGGGGATCTGCTTGAGGAAAGTGCGTGGTAATCCAGGTTGCTAAAACAAAGCATCACGTCACTGAGGGAGTAGGCGGGGCGCACGCCCCAACGGGAACACGCGAGGCGCGGTGCGTTTCCTCACCCACGCGCCCCCACCCCCGCAGCTGACTGCTCCCCCAGGTCTCTGCTGGCATCCTCTGGGTTTTGTCCTGGGCTTCCTAAGCTCTGAGCAGATAGAAGCAGCGGAAGTGTGGGAATAACTTGTATGCCGTGGCTTGAAGGCACAACTCGGTCCCCAGAACATCACCTCAGCGGCCCCAGCGTCTGCCAGGCTAGGGAGATTCCTTCCAGCCTCCCTCCTTCACCTGATTTAATGGCGTAAGTTCAGTTCAAATGGTTTGAGATTATTTTGCTGAAGGGAAGTGTTTACCAAAGTCGTCAACGACAGAGTCGCTGTTCTTAGCAAGGCACGTGTTTTAGTCATGAGCAATCTAACTAGGAGTAGAGCTGCTGTCTAAAAGGAAGTACTTGCGTTGGGCCTTTCCTGAGAGACGCCTCAGCTTGGGAGAGGGGAAGAGCGGAACTCCCCGCCCATGGCCCAGGTGTGCGGAGCCCGAGTCTCCACCTTGAGGTTTGCAGTTTCTAGACTGATCCACACCCTGACCTGTCAGCCGACCTGCAGCGCTGCCACCTAGCGCCGCCTGCCGGTGCATTTTCACTTCCGTTCCTTTAAAGAGTAGTCAGTATTTCGAAGCTTGCCCGGTGTTTGCACTAAGCAGGAGTAATAAAGCCATACATTTGAAGGGACCATAGACTGCCCGCATCCTCCCCGCCACAGTGCAGAAACTTATTTTTCTACCAACTTTCTAAGCTTAAACACATTTTTTACTACTCAGAGGGAAAATTCTCGGTTTTGTCACTGATTGGAACTGTAATTCATGTTTATTGTACCAATTTAAACAAAACAGCAATGTAAAGTGTAGGTCCTTGGTAATCGTTTCCAAAAACATCAATGTTCATGGTTTGGTTTGCCCTTTTCCTGACCCTATCCATGGGACCGGAAGTCTCTTTCTTGTATATGGAAGTAGGTTTTAATAAAATGAGATGGTGGTATGTTTTCCATGTCAGTATTTGAAACTAATTATTTAATGGCCAGAGAGTAGCATAATGCATTTTACCAAATATTGACAATATTTTGTTGTTTACAATGCTGCAGCGAATGTTTTTAAAGAAGTCATTGAGTATTTGTGGAAGTATATGCATAGGATTCCTATAAATCATATTGAATATGTTATAGTTTGGGGGCAATTTTTATTTCTAATATCTTGTTCAATTGGGTTGCTTGATATAGGAGACAGCTACTAAAAGTTCATGGAAAATGAAATTAAAAGATACTTCAGGGCAAAAGTTTCTGAAATCTGCATAATTCTTTACTTCTATGAACCTTTAGGGATTAAAACTGTGAAAAACACTTTTGTGAAGTCAGCTGTACACTTGTACTTTGCCACGTATAGAATCATTTTCTGGGCCTGGTGCAGCGGCCTAATGGCTAAAGTCTTAAGTTACACCAGGATCCCATATGGGCACCGATTCTATCCCAGCAGCCCCACTTCCCATGCAGCTCCCTGCTTGTGGCCTGGAGGAAAAACTTACAAAAAAAATAATAATTTCCTTTGCAAATGGACAAGGAGGTGCTGGTTTGTTCTGCAGAAGCCTGTTGGTCGGGCTCTGCCGTGCAGCGATGGCCATGACAGGAGCCAGAGCACAGGACGCACCTCCCTCGTGTTGAAGATGGACGGCTCCGCACTTGGCCAAGTCCGTGGTGATTTTACTCATTACCGTTGAGGTTTGACTCACTGTCCTGTCACTATATTTTGGGTTTTTCTTTGTGAATAAACCAGACACCTGTTGGATTTTAAAAACTTGTATTTATTTTTTATTGGAAAGATATACAGAGAGCAGGACAGACAAGTCTTCTGTTTGCTGATTGACTCCCCAAACAGCCGCAATGGCCAAAGCTGAGCCGATCCGAAGCCAGGAGCCCGTAGCCTTCTGGGTCTCGCACATGGGTTCAGGGTCCCAAAGCATTGGGCCATCTTCAACTACTTCCCCAGGCCACAGGCAGGGTGCTAGGTGGGAAGCTGGGTAGCCAGGACACAAACTGACACCCATATGGGATCCCAGCAGTTGCAAGGCAAAGTCTTTAGCCACTAGGGTACCACACCAGGCCCTAAATGAGTAAATTTTGTAAAAACTGTCAGGAGCTGGTGTGGTGGCGTAGGAACGAAGCCTCCACTTATAACACCAGCAACAGACATGGCTCCTGTTGAAGACACGCCTGCTGTCAGCAGGCCGTCCTCAGCTGCCCCGGTAAGCCTGGTTCATTAGTCATAGGTGAGAACAGTGAGCGAAACCGCGTGAGGGCGGGTTTCTCGTGTGCTGGTGACAAGTTCCCTTCTGTTCCTCCACCTACTGCTGTGTCTCCAGATCTGGGTTCTGCAACTCATTGTACTGCTCCAGCCTCACGTTGTCCTGTATAAACACGTGGAGGAATCCGATCCCCACTGGCTTCGTCAGGGAGGGCGAAGCCTCCTGTGGCTTCATGACGCGTGCTGATCAGCAGGGAGCAGGTGTGGGGTTAGACCACAGGTTGCCTACA